ACACACTCTAACAAAAATCTACTGAAAACCATCAACATTGAGTAAGTAGTGCAAGGAAATGGTGAGTTCTTAGTCAATACCAACATCACACAATCCAGAACCTCATTACAAAATACAAATACACACTGTGATCAAATTTTGTGGACCATGAGAATAACTTTTTAAAGAATATATACCCAGTTCATTCCAATAAAGACATATGTTGGAAATTAATCATTTATAAACAGTAAAACATGGTTCTTTGTTTCACTATCAATAGCATATAATTAATGTGCAAGGCAAAGAAAATTCAATTAGTTCCAAGTGGCAAACATATCATCTCACTCATCAACACTTCATCATGGAAACTACTCCAGAGCACAATATATAGCTTTGTAAAGGATGAAATCTTTGAAATTCTAACAGGCAATCTCAGGGAGAAGTTAAGATTTAGCAGGAAATAGCCACATGCAAATTAAATTTCATTACCCCATTACCATCTATACTTTAGAAGTGTAACTTCTTTGTCATTCTACAAGAACGATCTGCAATTTTCTGTAACTTTTATTCAGAGAACTTAGACTTCCGGTCACTGGTTCCAGAATAAAATAGTAGCCTGATATGATAAGGAAGGTTGTTTCAAGAAGATGACTGAGGCTTCTCTTCCAATGCTGCAGCATTTCTGAGTCTGTAACAGGGAGAAGGTGGGAGTCGGCATAACTGAAACCATGTGCATCTTGTTCATGTGATGAAGGGGCTCCATGCCTCTTTATTGAACAGGTTCATCCCCTGGCTCCAAGTAAGCAAGACCATGACTCCCTTTTCACAGAATTCAGAGGTAACGGAGTTAGGAGAGACATGGCCCTCCCTTGCTAGGCTCTTGAAAGGAAAATGTCTTATTGGAACACACAGTTGGAGAAAAGAGGAAAAATTGAGAATTTATATAAGAAAACTAGGTATGCCAAAAGACACAAAAACACTGATTCAAAAAGATACCTGCACCCCCATGTTTATTGCTGCTTTATTTACAATTGGAAAAACATGGAAGCAGCCCAAATGCCCAAAAGTAGATGACTGGATTAAAAAGATGTGGTACATATACACAGTGGAATATTACTCAGCAACCACAAAAAAGAAACATGTCTTTCGCAACAACTTGGAAGGAGCTGGAAAAGATCATGCTTAGTGAGATAAGCCAGAAAGAAAAAGAAAAATACCGGATGGTTTCACTCATAGCAGGAGTATAATGGACCAGGCAAGAAAATAGTAAGAATAATGAACAGCCATATACCAGAGACATTTTGTGGGGGTGGAATGGGGAATGGGATCAAAAACAGGGGGGGATAGGGAGGGAGGTGCAAGGGACTGTGGTGATGGCACATGGGTGACTTGGTGATGGGAAACCCATGGGGATTACAATTGAGATGAAAAAAAAAGTACAAAATTATGTAAAAGTAAGTTATTATATATATATAAAAGAAAAAGAAAAGAAAACTGGGTATGTTCATACCTTGTTACCTTGTTGTCACTGGGGAACTACAGTCCCACTGACTTTTTGCAAATATTAAAATAATTGCTATGAAACCTGGATTCACCGGGAAATTGTGAGACATTTGGTAAAGAAAGCAACTACTGCATTATAATGATCATGTAAAATATATACATAAGTATGACAGATGGAGAATCACAAGGACAATAAAAGGTTTATTTTAGGGAAATTTGGGTTGTGGGAGAATTTTTCCTTTCTCTTGAACATGTTAATCTTGCTGTAGTAGTCTTTATACAGTAGTGTTAAGTCTTGCTGAAAGTCATCAAAATGAGTAGATTTTGTTGGGGTTGTTTTTTCTCTGCTTTAATTATTTAAATTGAAGCTTCCACTACTCCCCTCTTAGAGTTGAGGACTAATAGATCCTTAATGTTGTTATAGATTGAATAATTGGAAATATTATGTATGCAAAATGAAATCTCCACATCGATGTTTAAAAGTAACCTGGATCCAGTCTAAGAAAGTTTTATTTTGAAATTTTACCATTCAAACTTGATCCATATCAAGGAAAAAATGTATTTCCAATAAATGCAGTCCAGTAATGTCACTTAGAAGATCCTAAAGATAAGGTAAGTTGTACAGTGTGATCAGAATACACGAGTGTCATATCATCTTAAAGACAGGGCTGTGTTTCTGACCTGTTGATTCACTAACAATACTGTTCAAATACAGCCTGGCTCAGTAAAACAAGCTGCCCTCAGTGGCACAGTGAAAACAGGATTTTCACAATGAAACAGGAGCACAATGAAAACACCAGCTCAAAATGAAACTGTCACCAGGAAGAGACTTCCTGGGATGGCCGCTGCTAGACAATGAAGGGCTGTTTTCATTTAAGTAAAGACACCAGTCACTATAACTAAAGACGAGATCACCGCACCTAGCATATGTGAGCTACCCAGAGAGTTAACTCCTTTTCTTTCCAGCTCAATTCCCAACTATGGCACCACACACCACCACCTCAAACACAATATCTTCAAGGTTTCCTAGTTAGCTTTAGTGCCCTACAGGTTTGATGCACAAAATCATGAAGAAGGCTAACTTGACAAGCTGGTATCAAGCTTTAATTGTTGGGAAACTGCTGATAGTCTACTGTATTGGTGCTGATTAGAAAGGGAAAGATAAGAGCTGGCTAAAGGGCATGACTCTCCGCCCCAAATGACCACACCAATGCCAGACACAATGCCCAAAGTTGTTAGAAATTCCTGAAGCTCTATAATTTTATTCTGGTCTTCAGGACATCCATTTCATGGTAGTACTTATTTCTGTCCACTTCAAAGTATATGCTGAAATGTTAGCTTCTTTCTATTTCCACCCTAATCTAAGCACCACTACCTGCTCTTGTCTCAAATATAGAAACGACCTCCTAATTTGTCCTACATTTTCCTCTCCTTTCCACTAACTGCTCATCACATAGGAATCAAGGCATAACTCACTAAGTCACCCGCTTAAGTAACTTCCTACTTTACTTTTCTATGAGCTAAAATGTCCCTTAGAAGATCCAGCACCTTCCCTCCCTCTAATTTCCTTTCTAATCGCCTTCTCTGCTCCAGCTACCCTGCCCTTCTTACTACTCAAATGAAATAGCAAGCTCCTCTTTCTCCCTGATATTCAGACCTTCTCTACCTAATGCTTTCTCCCCTCATGCTCATTCCCAGTCGAACTCTTCTAGTAATATCCTATTTCATGTCTCTCATGGTACTTATCTCCTTTTAAAATGATCGCATGTGCTCGCTTATATTCGGCCCCTTGACATGTACACACATGCATGCACACATGCACAGTGAGCCATATGACAGTAAAAATTTTGTGTATCTTGTTCACTTTATAAAATCTCCAGGGTCCAGAACAGTGCTTGGCAGGCAGCAGATGCCCAGGAAGTAATCATTGGATGAGTAATAACACCGCCCTGTTAGGTACCCCTTCTAGGTCTTCAACTTGACTTTTATGACCTAGTTGGCATTTCTCCTACTTGGCATAGCTCCTTGCCTTTAGCCTTTGTGACATTGTGTTATACCAGTTCTAACATTATGTATGCCACTTCTAGTATGCTAAGAAAGTAGTTTTGAATGCACAGAAAATCAGTGTTCTTTTGCTTAATTCTAAGAGCTTAATGCTCAAAGTATAAGTGAATGAAGCTGCTTACTGAATTGTTTAGAGCTTTTTAGAAAAGACGTAGATTTTATACAAGTTTATTGTGAGAATCTTTCTTGTGAAATAATTTGTTTATACCTTTTTTTAAAAATCTCAATTGAGGCCCTCCTGGTGGCGCAACGGGTTAAAGCACAGCACTGAGAAACTAAAGCCACTTCCGCATGAGTTCAATTCCCGCCTGCCCCAGAGGTGACCACATGGCGAGGCAGACCTCTCCTGACCCGCCCGCTGCTCCCCTCAGCAGTGTACTTCGTTGATCTGCCTGTTCTGCTCCCCACTCTGTCTCTGGTGAAGCCTCTCGCCGCCCCTGAGCCTCTGGCCTGTACTCCAGTTCTGTATGAACAAATAAATCTTTAAAAAAAAAAATCTCAATTGAGATACAATATCCAGGAAATTATGGTCCTAAACTTATTTATCAATGTGTAATCCTAACACACTGGCTAACTCCACTGAGATTCTATTAGCATTCTTAAACCCCATATTTCAAGACTAAAATGAACATCAAGGAGAACTTGAAATAGCACACAATTTTTAGTGGGCAAATTGCCTTCCAAAAAAGATGGAAGTAGTTGAAGTATGTTGATGGTAAGGAATTAGGACCATATTAGAACAGTCTCATCCCCTATACCTTGGTGATCACAGTAGCTTAAGTGCTCCCAGGTTATCAGTGAGGCACAATGCTGAAAATGCCTCCTTTAGTTATTTATCAATTTCTGCTTCAAAAGAGGTATGTCTGCGTTACCAGACAGATGTCGGTTAAGACCAGGGTTAAGTCTTAACAGCCTCAGGTAGTACGAGGAACAGCAAAAGAGCCCCAGCCTCATTAACAGCACACTTAGAGGTTCTGCTTACCATCTTTCTTCCAGGCAGCTAGCAGAGGCCAGGTTAACTGAGGCAGTCAACACGTGCTGCCAGTTACCACCAGAGCCTCTCAAAAGTCAAAAGAGTTTGAGGTACTCAGTATACATAGAAATAAAGAACTGCCTAAACAGTTGCAAAACTTTGGGTACATTTTTTAATATTAACATTTAATACATTGCTGCTTTTAAAAAAGGGAATTTTAGGATTTATGAATTGTTAAATCATAGTGTACTATGAATGGTGTGGTTCAGATAATTGGACACAAGTTTAAAGCGGGCAGATAGGGACTGTTGTCTTGGGAAGACAGTACTTCTTTGGACACTACTAACATTTACATATGAGACCTTTCATGACTAGGAAGGTCATGTGATCTCTCCATTTTGGTCCCCCTGTGAAGGGTATTGTTGACCTCTCCCAAATACTCCTAATTGGAAATCTTTCCTTAACCATAAGCCTATTACACCACCTGCCCCAACTTACCGTGATGTTATAAAGGAAGCAAAAAGGCAATTTGCAAAGAACCGAAAGGATTTCCGAATGTAAGTTGATGTAATACTATTCTTATATACCAGAGACACTTTTTAGGGGTAGTGGGAGGAATGGGATAAAAAATGGGGCAGGAAAGGTGCACGGGGATATGGTGATGGCAAATGGGTGAACTGGTGGTGGGAAGTTCACCGGGATTACAACTGAGATGGAAAAAGGCACAAAATGATATAAAAATAAACTAATAAAATTATTGAAAAAAAAAAGAATTAGACTCTTTTAGAGCTGGAAGTGATTATAAGAACTATCTACACCACGCTTGTTTTAGTGAGGAGAGTCACTTCTGGGCAGCTTACATACACAGACTCTTATCAGGTAAGTGTCAAGGTTGTATATTGTAACCCTGAAGCCACAAGAGTCAGAGACTGGAAAAAGGAAGGAAACTTTTCTGTGGTGTGGTTGGAAGGAGCATCCCACATGGGGAGGCCAGGAGAAAGCCTCAGGGAGGAGACTGGAATATAAGAACAGAAAGGTTGTCTGTAGTAGAGTTCCCTGGAGGCAGGTGGCAGCTAGGTGATATTGAGGAAAACAAGGCAGGGAGGGCTTTTGAAATGTTTTCTTGGGAAACCATTTTAGTTGTTTGTGCTTCATCTAAGTGTTCATAACAGTCAGAAATGGCATGAGAGGATATTCATTCATTTTTATGAAAACAAGTTGACAGGGCCCATATCAAGGTCAATGCTCAGAAAAAATGGCATCCTCCCTTTTGGGTAGCATCCTTCTCCCTGATGCTGTTCAAGAAACACATCAAAGAGAAGGCAAGGGACGAAGAGCCAGCTTTGTCCTCTCCAGCAGACCGGGTGAAAGGCTGAACCTCTGCTTTCCGTGGCTCCACATCCCCCTCCCACAAGCTTTCCCATGTGTGCACGCACAGCCCAGCCATGCTCAATGGGAAGAATAGGAAAACGCCATACTCAGGTGTGGTGGGTAATAACTTTGGTACTTGTACTAAGAGGGATTGGGCTGAGGGCTGAGGGATTTTCACATCAAGCAGTGTAGAAGGAAGGAATGCTGAAGGACTTTTCCCAGCTCATAGAAAGTCAGCATATTGTTGGTTTCTCCTTTTCCAAATAGAAATGCCTGCTTAATTTTAAAATTTCACTCCAAGCTTTTATTTTATAGGGAAAAATACAGAATCAGTGAAGAGATAAGATATCTGAAACTGCGGCAGGAAATAATCGACAAAGAACTTTACAGGTTTGTTCTTATTCAACTTTGTAGTGCTTTGAAACATTGTAACTGAACAAATGTGTTACACAAAAAATGGCCTTTGGTTTATTATATAAAAATACATCGTCCAAATAGCCTTCATAAACATTCTACTCAACAGTTCATCTGAAGTAACATTGCTTTTCTTATCCACTTTACCCTGTTAATTAATCACTAAAAGTTATCATTATTTTCTTTTACTCCACCAGTCCTAGGACTTAAGTACAAGACTTTTTTTTAAAAAAAAATAATAATAATAAGCCCATAACCATACCCTGCCCTGGGGAAGAAGTAAACTAGAAAAACAGCCTATTTAGTTGGTCTTTCTTGGGCTGGTTCTTTGTTCCCCTTCTGTCCCTGTTCCCTTCCTGTACATACATTGTCCCTCACTGAAGCAAGGTAAATTAAGCTCACTTAATTGTTTATTTTGTAAATTAGAGTATAAAAAGGAAAACCATAAAGTATTGAGATTAACCCACTTCTTCCAACATACCCACATGCAGGAGACTAAATACAGCCCTTAAAACAGTCTGGTGGAGACCATCACTTTGTGCCTGTCCTACTTTCAAACTTCTGACCACTGTTTGCAACTTATAATACTAGTTCCCTAATACATTAGTTAGAATCTTATGGCACTTCTCACCAAAGCTTTTATCACCCAGCTTTCCCCTTCACTATAACTAAATTATAAATCCAATTCCAGATGACTTCTACAAGTTTCTAAAAATCAAATCTGTGTAGAATAGGATTTCTTAACCACTGAAAATGTATAAAAATGGTTTTCCGAGCAACTTTCAGGAAGCACTGAAATATATTTCATACAGTACATTGTTGGAGGAAGTGAAGGGGAAAGCTTCATTTGGGTATAGATAAATCCCACATGCCTGTTCAATTTATAGGCACAACACAAAAATTTCTATCTGTGATCTTCAGAAAGTCTGTAATCTTCAAATCTTCCTCGTGGAAAAGAAAAGCATTCAGAAGGATTGAGAATTAAGTAATGGTACTGAATGCAAAATTGCTTTTTAGCAATTTTTTACTAAAATTGGATACTTTTTAAAAGTGAATGTTACAGTAGGTGACATATCACAAAATTATAATTAAAAAAAGAGTAGGCCTGTAATTTAAAAGAGTGAGCTCAAAGATGAGCTGATTTTAACAACATAAAATGAACCAAAGTCTAAGGACAAATTGCAATTCAAGGAGGTTCTAAGAGGGTGTCGCTGAAAAAAGGTACTGCAGATGATTTGGAGGGTGTTTCCTGAGTGTCTTAACTCGTTAACTCTTACAAGAAATGATAAGGAATGTTCTTTAAGCAACTTAACAGTTTCTCAAAGTGTAAGAGCTAGCTGTAAGAAGAGAAGGACAGATCCAAAGAGTAGTAAAAAGTGTAGAAAATCCAGGTTGAGGGGCTAAATCAGCAGAAATGAAGTAGAGAATGAGTGTGAGGACATTTGCCAGTCACAGAACACCCAAAAAGATAGCCTTGATGTGCCCTGAGGGTTACCCTAGACTAAATGTAAAGAAACCTAATGTAGGCCTTATTAGAGGTTCACTAGTATAAACCATACTTCAGCAAAATATATTTGGAAATTTCAAAAACTTCCTTCTTACATATTTCATGAAAAAAAAAAGTTTTTCAAATGTTGAACTTAAAAAATGCCAGTAGAATTAATAGCCCTTTTACCTCATCTGTGTTTTTCTTGCTAATGTTTCTCCCTTATCCTAAATTCCTACTCTTCCTTAACTGGTCTACCTCTGCCTCTCCCTTTATCACAGATTCCTGGGAAGGTTCTCTTGCTGCCTAATTCAGCTAGTTAACTTTATAAACACTCTTTGAATGAGTACTTAGTAACAGAAATCAAAATAGATTCCTAACTCAGTGAATTCACAGTCTAGCACCCTGACCGTAAGCCTTTTCCATCTTTCTCTCTCACTCCCAGATATTCCCCTGCTAGAATGTTTTTCTGTACCCACTGATATTCCTTAAAGTCTGTGCTGCTGTGTAGAATCAATTAAGGGAATATGAAGTGAATCATTTCCCTAAAACGCTGCTTTCCTGTCAGGATGTAGTATCACTCTGTGGCCGGAATTGAAGGCTACCTGTGTTCAAATCCTCAGTTACTTGCTAGCTGTGTGACTCTGGGCAGTTTACTTAACCTATCTGAGCTTGTTTCCTCTTTAATAATGTAGGATTATAGTGTACCATTGTATAAGTTTATCAGAAAGGTGATTGAATTAATATATGTTAAATGCTGGTAATTATATCTAACATACTAAACGTTATGTTTAACTCCTAGTTGGTGTCAATATAAAAAAGATTTGGCTCTTTATTTTCTTTATTCCATTAACAGACTCCAAGCAAAGGCTACCAAGAAACCCTATGAAGCTATGCTTGACTTCGACAAGTTTCTATATAAACTGGTATGTTTCCTTTTTTTAAAGAAACTGAGAATTCTCTTTTAAGCTACAGTGGCAGAAAAGAATATATTCTTGTATTTAATCATCCACAAAGATTTAGAATAATCTGTTTTAGATACAGCTACAACCTTATGCTTATTCATAGCTCCCCATTACTTGCAGGGACTAGTTTTAATGGCTAAAAATCTCCAAATACGGTCAGAATTCTAAACTGATAGGATTTTAAGTCATTTTAATTTTTATTAAAAAATCAATAAAACATTGGATTCTAACTACCATGTTAGATGAATGGTCCCTGCCCTCAATTAAAAGAAATGCAAGATAAAAATAAGGTTCTAAATAGGACTCAAGTGTGTGAAAGAAAAGGAAAGATATTGTTACATCTCTCCAATTTTTTTGTCCTCTCCTCATGTTTCCCTCCTTAACTAATGGGAAATACTATTAAATCTGAAAGACCTTCTTCCCTGCCAATAGGCAAAAACATGTAGAAAACAGTATAAAAAAATCTGAAGGTTGCACAAACTGATGTGAGGAATAGAGCTTTTTATTTTCAGTATGCCAGGCTTCCACTAAAAAATGTAAAGCAACCCCTATTGACTGCGGTATAACATCAAATTTCTATGAGCCAGGGAGTTGTAAAAGCATGTCTAATATTAAACAAATAGGACTATACTTGAAAGCAAGCAAGCAAGCAAGCAAGCAAGCAAGCAAGCAAGCAAGCAAGCAAGAAAGAAAGAAAGAAAGAAAGAAAGAAAGAAAGAAAGAAAGAAAGAAAGAAAGAAAGAAAGAAAGAAAGAAAGAAAGAAAGAAAGAAAGA